GGAAAAGTTGACATTAGTAGATCCTTTCTTATTAATAAATATAAGTCAGGTATGGAAATAGTTTCTTCAGATTTCTTAACTTCACAAAGATAGCTTTTAAAATGCATGCATTCGGAAATTAAAACTTCTTTACATATGTCATCTTCGTATGAATTAGCTAAATTTGTACACGATTCTTCTATTTCATTATAATTCATGTTTTGTAAAACTGTAAAAAAAGTGAATTTGTCGTTTAATTTCTTATAAGCCTCTTGTCTTGTTTTTAAAAGATTTACTAAAGTATCAATCAAAGGTAAAAAAATTTCAATTTTTAATTTTTCTTCATAACTAAAATTGATCCCTTTACTGAGTCCTTCTTGTTGCATGAGTTTTATACTCCTTTTTTTTATCCTTTGCATTTCAAAATCATCAATTATATTTTTTGCTTTTTCTAAGCAAATTGAGAAATTTTCTCTTAAACTGGATATGTATGATTCTAATGACTTTAATAAATTGAAAGCGACGTGTAAATCTAAATTTTGTTTTTGCAAAATTTTATTTGTGTCGTTGATACGAGTCAGAATGTCAAACCATACTACCGTCAAAAACAAAGTTTGTAAATTTAACATCTTCTTAAGTAAAGATTGAGCCTCATGTCTTGCTTCACTAGACATAGTAGTATCGTTTGATATTTTATTAAGAGCTTTCATAATATTCGTATAACCTTTACAAAGTGCAGTAATAGCATCAGCCTGGGCTGACCATCTTGTTGCAGGTAATGCTTTTAAAACTAGATTTCCTGCTCCTAATTCAACTAATAAAATTCGCCATCTGTGGGTTGACAAAGAAAAAAACGTATAAAGTTTCTGTACAAACATGAAATACGCAACTACAGGTTGCACGCATTCAGCTGCTTTTACACCGACTAAATTTAGCGAGTGTGCAGCACAAGAAATATACTCGGCGTATTTATTCAATTGCTTTATCCTAGCTTGTAATCCTGAATATCGACCGGACATGTTAGACGCGTTATCGTAAGACTGTCCTCTACAATCCTTAATGTTCAAATCATTTTTTTCTAAAAAATCGATTATTACAGTACTTAAATACTCTGCCCCGTGTCCTTCAATTGGAATGAATGTTAAAAAACGTTCAACAGGACCTGTGTCTATTACATAACGGACTGTAAAAGTTAGTTGATCGGTATGGGTGATATCTGGAGTTGAATCAACAGATATCGAGTAATATTTTGATTTTTTGAGTTCTTCGATTATAGATTTCAAAACATTCTTTTCCATTGATTCTATGAATTCTTTGCATATGTTTGCTGATAGGTATGATGTTACACCGTGACCTTTGTTTCCATGACAACTAATGTGCTCTTTTAAAAAAGTATCATATTCGCTTAACAGTTCCAAGATTCCTAAATAATTTCCATTATGCTTTGATCCGAATATTTGGTTATCACCTCTAAAAGCAAGACCTTTACAGGCAAGAAACTTGATAACGTCAGTAGTTCTTTTTAAAAGTTTTATCCAATATTTTTTCTGGTCTTCGTATTGTACTGTTAACTGCGTATCAATTAAGTTTAATCCATTTTTTCTTTGACAGTAGATTGTTAAACTTTTTCTATGATTTTGACTTTGCTTATGTCCTGCAATACGGTTTGGATGCTTCCAGTCTCAAAAACCTTGACTTGTAAATTTATCTTGTTCTGAAGAAAAAAGACGACATACAAAACAGAATACGAACCCATCAGTCGATGGTGAATATAAAAGTCATTCATGTTCTACTACTTCGCCATTGTGTAATTTCATTTGAAATAATGATCTATTAAAAGTTATGACTTTTTGTTTCTGTCCGTCTTGATAAGTCTGAGCAGATTTGGTAAAATCGCTATTTTTATTGTTGCATAAGCTTGGCCCTTTTCGTAACCAATACAATTGTAGATCATTATCTATGTTTCCCCATAATGCTGGGTCTGATGAGTAAAAAATCTCCGGAGTTTTCAGGTTAGCCTCTTCTATGAGTGTTGAAACTGTTAAATGCAAAAAAAAGTTGCTTTTTACTCAATTAATAAACAAAAGCGCACACTAGCGAGCGCTTTCAGCTACTTGAGATTAGGCTCTTGACCTTTAGAATACTTAGTCATTAAAAAAAAGGGCATATAAGTAAGCACTTCGAGTGACTTGAAATTAGGTTTTCGAAATTTGAGATACTTATTAAATAAACAAAAGCGCACACAAGTGAGTGCTTTAAATTACTTATGATTAGGGTCTTAAAATAAAAATTTCTTTGTTAATAAATAATAGCGTGGCCAATCAAGCGCTTCGTATTACTTGGCATTAAAATAAGTTTTTGAGTATTTGAGTATGTTCAATAGTTAATTAATGAAAAAAAGCATACATAATTGTTTGCTTCGGATAACTGGTTATTACATATTTGACTGTTATTTTGAAATTTTGTTATTTATTAAATAGACATAAGCGCAGGCAGTTGCTCTTAATGGATAGCTAGCGATGAATTGCTTCAAATTTATATTATAATTATTATATTTAAAAATGTGCAGTCCGTACGTATTCGATTACTGGAGTGAGCTTTTTATGCATGCATGCTCTCCCATATCACGCAAGATAGTTAGAGCCGTCTTTGGGCATGAGCCTACGGGGCCCGGGCCCAGGGCCAATAGAAGCAATACTTGTCGAAGCCATCGTAAGAATTTTTTTTTAATTGATATGAAATAATAAATTAATCTTTTGTATAGAAAAGTTTCTCCAGATCCACCAGGACCATCGATGNAATAACTTTTAAGGATTTTAACATAATTTGTGTATTTTAAAACTCCTAAGAAATTGTGAACATCCTATTTACGACAAAAAAAAGCCGCCCGTTTACTGCTATTTACTTAATGTTGAAATTTTAATCAGTAAATGAATTTGATGAACACAATATAAAATAGTTTTGTAAATATTTTAAAATTGTTTGCAACTCTTTAATAAGGTCTGCTATATAGTCATTTGGTTAAATATGCTTAAGTTGTTTATCAAGAGGTAATGCAAGGAAGAGTGCAGGGCTATTTTATTAAAGGCACTTTCGTTGCTAGACATAATTTGAATTTGAATTGCACAAGCTGTATTGGTTGCTGCTTTCGAGATCAATGGTATAAAGTAGAGGAAATAAGGTAGGCCAATGATTTAAATTTTAACATATTAGCTAATATAAGTCTTATCGTACTAAAAAAATTGGACAATATCGCTACATGAGCTGTATTTTCTATACTTTTTCTATATTTCTACTAGATTTTAGTTATGAAAAAAAAAAAAAATTGTTTAATGAAATTCTTTTGGACAAAAAAAATTCTTATAAGACGTCAGTATCTTAGATATTCTTGAAAATTCTATAAATCAAAGTAAAAATATGATGAAAAAAATTACCAATTTGACGTGTATCCTAGGAAGGTAGCCGCATCATCGAGTAAAAAAAAAAGTTACAGGGTGGTTGATAATCACTACACAACCTAAATTATCTCAAATTCGTTGAGATTTTAATAGAATCGAGGTATAAAATTTTATAATTTTTATCTTGTGTTTGTAAAATCAGTTTCATCATGCATGTACTATGTCTGAATTTTAAAATAATAAAATAACCTTCTATAAATTTGGAAATACGCAATTATTATCTTGAATCCAAAGTAAGACAGGCTAACAATACTTATTTGGGGAGAAGGTTTCCAGGTAGTAAGAGATTTTCAGCACCATAAATCAATACAATATCTCACTAATATATAAAGCAAAGTCGCTAAAATTAAGTTATAAGTTAAATTTTATCCATGTTTACTATATAATATTGAAATAAAAATAAACATTTCTGTTATAATTTTAATATTTTATGAATTTGTATACAGACATTAATACAAATAATGACTTGTAGGGTCAGTGCACACGATCAGTTTAGAGTTCATCAAGGCAGTGAGAATTAAAACTCCACCCCCTAACCACTCTGGCCCAGGGCCCCATCATTTTAAAAGACGGACTGATAGTATACATACTGAAATCCGATATCGACAGTGGCGACATCGAGAATCTCGAAGTATACACTGAATACATCGAGAATCTTGATGTGGCACAACTGCACTTCTTGATTCTAGAGGTAAGAAAATTTTACCCACTCAGCGCACCCGATTGGCGCATATGCAAAATATTTACTTCGGGATTTGGGATGTAAAATTTTCTTACATTTACATGGAGAAAGCAAACAAGTGTAACACTGCTTCTTGACCTGAAACGAAAAGAGGCGCCGATCGACGTAGCATTAGCAAATCTCAATCGCGTTCATCACCGTTGTCCCTCTCACCTCTTGGGTTTCTGCTCATGAAAAAGGGGGATTGGCTTAGGAGTTCCCCCGTTCTACGGGGAGAACTAATAATTAACGCACAAACAAATACCTTTCACTATTTCTTATATTTAAAACACTCAAACACTAATACACAGTCTCTCTCTTCACAATACATGACACAACGCTTCACCTCGCCCTCTGGACTGCGCTACTGCGCTGCAGCGACTCCGCCTCGCATCACGCAAGCCGTGAGCGCACCTCCACCACGTCTGGCTCGACCTGGACCAGGAGGGGCTCTGGCTCATCCTAGACCCACACTACTATGCACACACTCACACTCCGTCGCCAATCTCACACACTACTATACTCTCTCTCTCTCTCTCTACTCGACAAAGCCTCTCTCTCCCTCTCTCTCTCTCTCTCTCTCTCCTGAAATCTCAAACATCCAAGACTGAAACACCGGCGTACAAGCTTTTTGGTCAGTCATTTTATTTATATGGATTCTTTATTGTTTAATTACCTAATACTTTTTAATCAAGTTATTGATTTTCAAAAAACTAATTTCAAAATAATTTAACAATCTGAATGATCTTCTAAACTTACACTCAAATCATTTAATATGACGCATTAGAATTATTTTTATCATATCCTGGACAAAAGTACCAACTTTTGTCCCTGAGATCCCCTTCAGCAAGACTTTTTATCTCTGCTGGTATGCACACAATTTATTCTACATTCTACTTCGCATAAATAGATAGATATACAAAAGTGCGCCGGTAGCAAGAGGGGCGGTAGCCAAATCAAGCTAGCCAGCTGACGGGATTAAAACATTTGCTTGTAAACAAAAACCATAACCTTAAATACGATGCTGAACGTATATATGCACAAAGTATGTACGTGAAATCAAGGTGGTTTTTTTGTATACATATATGAATATCACAATTTACATTATTATGGCTTATCTAACAGTGCACGTACTTTTGCCCCCGTATGATAGAAAATCGTATACGCTACACTCGGGGCAAAAATACATCATTTCCGGGGTGTTTACCACCCTCGCCCCAAGATAACAATTTCTCGTACTTTTTCCCCCCGTGGTGTAACATACTGGTTTTCTTTTATCGTACGTCACAATGCAAACTAAATATTCATATTTACCCGGTATACTACTGTCATCCTTTTCGAGACTCTGCAATTGTTCATCTTGTACTTGTAAATCTGAACTATCATTTATACTTTCCACATTCCCAATAGTCGAATTATTTTCTGTATTTATCAAAAGATTGTTTGATTAATTAAAGTATGATTCACAAAAATGTTTATTCCTGTAGACTTACCAATGACAGTGACATCGCATAGCTCACTTACAGCTTGTAATTTCGCAGCCTGATCCTTGCAAATAGCGTTGCACGTATTTACAGAGTGATCGGCAGAAGCGCTTGAATTGTTTGTATGATTAACATCTAAGAATGTAGTTATTTTTGCAAGTTTAGATATTTTTTCACATTTTTCTTTGGCTTTTCGCTTTTTTGCAGTACCACTCAAATAAGAACGCTTCGTAGTGTACAAGTAATTGCGATGAGTTTTCTGAAGACTGCGTATGGAGTTTATCTTACAGGTTAATGCTTACTTTTGCAAAGCTGATCTTTCTGTTCTAACTTCAAACGTTCTACCGAGGCTATGTTTCACGTCCTCACGATACGAAATGTTTTGACAACAATCACAGCAAAGAATATAAGGTTATAATCTCACTTCAGTTTGCTACAGTGGCACTCAACTCATGGATTCGTAGTCGTTCCAGGGGCTTTATTCATATATCGAATGGTCGAATGAAATTTTCAAGGAATCTCGATTCCGCAGTACCAACNTGGTTGCTGCTTTCGAGATCAATGGTATAAAGTAGAGGAAATAAGGTAGGCCAATGATTTAAATTTTAACATATTAGCTAATATAAGTCTTATCGTACTAAAAAAATTGGACAATATCGCTACATGAGCTGTATTTTCTATACTTTTTCTATATTTCTACTAGATTTTAGTTATGAAAAAAAAAAAAAATTGTTTAATGAAATTCTTTTGGACAAAAAAAATTCTTATAAGACGTCAGTATCTTAGATATTCTTGAAAATTCTATAAATCAAAGTAAAAATATGATGAAAAAAATTACCAATTTGACGTGTATCCTAGGAAGGTAGCCGCATCATCGAGTAAAAAAAAAAGTTACAGGGTGGTTGATAATCACTACACAACCTAAATTATCTCAAATTCGTTGAGATTTTAATAGAATCGAGGTATAAAATTTTATAATTTTTATCTTGTGTTTGTAAAATCAGTTTCATCATGCATGTACTATGTCTGAATTTTAAAATAATAAAATAACCTTCTATAAATTTGGAAATACGCAATTATTATCTTGAATCCAAAGTAAGACAGGCTAACAATACTTATTTGGGGAGAAGGTTTCCAGGTAGTAAGAGATTTTCAGCACCATAAATCAATACAATATCTCACTAATATATAAAGCAAAGTCGCTAAAATTAAGTTATAAGTTAAATTTTATCCATGTTTACTATATAATATTGAAATAAAAATAAACATTTCTGTTATAATTTTAATATTTTATGAATTTGTATACAGACATTAATACAAATAATGACTTGTAGGGTCAGTGCACACGATCAGTTTAGAGTTCATCAAGGCAGTGAGAATTAAAACTCCAATATGTCTGATGTTTATAATATCTGAGCCTGATAAGGTTAGCGTTAAGACCGACAAAACGTTGCTCAAGATAACATCAGACATTTCGGAGTTTTTGTCCTTGCTCTTTGATTAGCTCTTAACTGATCATGTGTGCTTAATACACTAACCTTACAAATCATTATGGAAACAACTGAGAGTATGACTACATGTTCAACAACATCAACTTGACTCACACAAATGATTTTAAACTATTATTGTGAGAACACAACCTCTGTTAATATAATGCCAAGTCTTACTTAGGGTACACATGCTCAAACATATTATTTAGTGGAGTTCTAACTATTAAAAAAAAACTTTTTCTTAAATGAAGTGCATGATTTGCTGAACTAATTATTTTTATTCATCATTATTTGAAATGAAATACGAAAAAAAACTTTATCTTGATTGTTTTTTCTGTTCAATTATAATGGTTTGTCAAAAATTGAAAAAGCATCTGTGTCTAAGCCTGAGGGTACGACACTACAGGTGTAAAACAAAATTTCCTACCGGTTTACGAAAAAAGATGCCACCCCTAAGTTACATAAATTAAGGTACAGTGTATATACACATGTACATATGTGCCCATTAGTATTCTCACGTTTATAATTTTGGCGACATAAAGAGAGGGCCCGATATTAATGTAACAAAAAAAAACTAGGATATTGTAAATAAGTTATGGGCATGTATTATTTTTTAATTATTTTATCAATAAGAAACCTTTCATATTTAGTACATGTGCCGTACCAGGTTAGAAAAGCAAGAAAATGGGCTAAGTCTAATAAATTTTGTATATAAAAAATCATGTATATTTTCATTTTAAGCAAGTGTATTTTAATTTTGCAACTCTTCTTATAGCATAAAAGAATATTTCATGTGTATCTACTCATAAAATGTTTAAAAATCTTATCCTTACAAATTTTATGTAGAAAAGAAAAATTATTTTACAGCAAGAATAGACGTAAGTATCTTGGCATACTGCTTAAAAAATATTTGACAATCTTTGGTAGTTAGTAATTATATAAAAAACATATCATTGCAAAAATTTATCATTAATATTCGGAAGTTGAAATATCAATTCATCTGTTTTTATGTAGTAATGGTTTACTGAAAAAAAATCTTTGAAAATTTATTTTTAGTGCCGTTAAATACAACATCCCCTCTGAACTAAGGCGCGTATTTAGTGGCTCTTTCGCAATGTTACCTTTATTTCTCTAAAGTTAAAGTTTTGTAATATCTGAGCGCCAAAATAGTAGTTACCATCACTGGTGCACATCTCCGTCGGAGCCACTATTTTTTCTGATGACGCTTGCAAAGTAACACCCGAGGGACTTTAGTGACAACTGTGGCCAGCTAAAATATCAGTAGCAAATGCTTTTTTTCTTACCCTAGACGCAATAAATGTCTAAATGTTGCTTAGCAAGCACCTTTAGATCCGGTAAATTGTATGTTATCCATCTTCAACAGCCAGTCGTCAGATGAGCTTGCGAGCTCCAACTACAACAGAAAGCTTGTAACCCGTATAAAACCCTTAATACATTAAATGTTGAAATATCAACATAAAGAAGATGCATAACTAGTTACAAAATCTACCATGAAGTATCAAGAGTATCTTACCTCATTTGAATATGCGTGTATATGTAAACTTAAATTTGTCATTACAACTTATTACGATCACAGTCCTTGGGTTGCATTCAATTTATGTGAATGTGAGAAGAAATACAGGTAAAATATTGAATTTTTAGTAAAAGTTTGGAATGTAGTGATTATAAGAATAATTTTTGGATAATTTACCAAAGTTAATTAATTTTTGTGTCAAGGGTAGAAAGTGCAACTTTGTGCCCGTGGGCACACTTTCTGCCCACCACTTACTTTTCGCCCTAGGGTGGGAACGAATTTTTGGCCCCGCAGGTCCATAATTTTTTTTTTCGCCCGTAGATGGTAACTAATAAGCGGGCGGAAAGTGTGCCCTAGGGCACAAAGCACTGGGCCCGAGGGACGAAATGGTAGTTTTCGTACCTGGTGGCGCGTGTCACCAGGGGAAGCATCAGGACCGAGGGATCTGCGAAGCAGAGCCCAAGGGACTCCTTGTGCTTACCTTGGTTGGATGCACACCAGGTACGAACCCTATTTTTCCTACCGAAGGTACTACCAACCCTCAAAAACGCCGAAGGTAGGAAAATTAATATAAGTATAAGCGACAATAATACAAGGAGTAACAACAGCTTGTTTTTTTTTATAATTTATTTCATATCAAATTACCAGCCAGTTAGTAAGTTATTAAGACTATTTTTGTTGTAATTTTATAAATCGTATTATGATTTTAGGCGCTAGATATTACATGTATGAGATGATTACAGTTTTAAGTATGTCTCTTTATATTTATATTCAAATTGATGGCTAAATAATCTACCAACAATAGATTTTTTTTGTGAAGTGCTACAATTATTTATTACAATGTCCATAGTTAATCAACTTTCTCGTTCTAGTAGGTGGCTATACTACAGCTATATTGGTGTAGTTAGTATTGCAACACTCCAATGTGGCTTGGAATAAATGACAGTCTGAATATGAATGTGTATATATTTTGACATGTATAATTTAT